CGCCTTGGGTACTGCTAGAAATATCCAACGCCTTGGGTACTGCTAGAAATATCCAACGCCTTGAATACTACTAGAAATATCCAACGCCTTGAATACTGCTAGAAATATTCAATGCCTTGAATACTGCTAGAAATATCCTATGCCTTGGGTACTGCTAGAAATATCCTATGCCTTGGGTACTGCTAGAAATATCCAACGCCTTGGGTACTGCTAGAAATATCCAACGCCTTGGGTACTGCTAGAAATATCCAACGCCTTGGGTACTGCTAGAAATATCCAACGCCTTGGGTACTGCTAGAAATATCCAACGCCTTGGGTACTGCTAGAAATATCCAACGCCTTGAATACTGCTAGAAATATTCACGAGTTTAATTTCATCCACATTCTTAACTGATGTATTATTTATGTGTCTTTCACTATTATTAATGTAAATAAAAAGCAAAGGCTCCTGAGGCACTTTTTCAGCAACAAAAATCCAGTTTGCAGTGTGTTCAGCATTCCTATATTGTTCTATGTTTCCCTTATTTTTAGTTAGTTCCTGTGTTTCCTATATTTTCATGTATTTTTGGTCAAACTTCATGTATTTTATGTATATTTTTTAAAAATAATTATCAAAGTATTACATAATATTGAATAACAGTGCATGACTAGGACAGATTTGTTAAGATTGTGATATTAAGTGTTTTAAACTGAGTGACTCACCATTCTGGTAAGGATGTTACAAGAAAAAATAAAACTGAAAGGGTATAGCAACCCTTGCTTCCTGAGCTGATTTTGTTGTTGGTTGGTGTTGTAAGAGTACCAATTTAAAAAAGAAAATCTGTGTGTATTTACATGCCATATATATAAAAAATTTGTTTCAGGTTATCTATGGTTAGATGACCAGACAAAAAAAGGTAGAAAGATGTTAACCAGGAGTCACGTGACCAGACAAAAAGAGATAGAAAGATGTTAACCAGAAGTCACGTGACCAGGAAAAATACCTTCAAAGTTCCAACTTTTTATTTTCCCTTGTGGTGAAATTTTAGTTGCTTTCATTTTCAACTCATTTGGTCACGTGCTGTGCTGAAGGTGATGGACAGTATCATTACATACTTGATATCCAAAATCTCAGTATATGCCAATCAAATTGTCAAAACACTATGCACATATCTATATTCTAACAACTTGGCTTGTATATTGCAGGCACGAACTAGTCGGCGTGCTATATCCATCAAGAATATGTCAATACCAATTATACACTTTGGTTGTTATAGAAAGTTTGTTTGAAAACAAAGAAAACTGTTCACTGTACATTGTATTGTATCGATAGACATAATTGGATTTATTATTATCAGTGGGTTACAGAAGGGTGTTAGTGGTGCACACAGATTACTGTATTTTTGATTGAATTACTTGTCACAGGAGGTAATTGTTAATTATTTAAGATATATACTATAAAGCAGTATCATTTTAAGTTTTCTCAACATCTTGAATTACAGATATAATTACATGTAAATGACTTATTAATGTTTATAGCTTTTACTTACATGGGGTAATTGACTCGTAACTTGACCAGTTCTTTATGTTTATATTTCCTGTAAATATGAAGTCTATTTTCAAAAACATCTCCCTGTTTTGGAAGTCTAGCTTGACCCCTGGTTAAGGCATAACAGTACTGTACTTCCAACCTGTTTTCCAGCCATTTCTGACACTTTTTTTTTCAGTTGGACACAAATAACAATTACATATGACAAGTTTTTAATGAGTTAATTCACACAGTGATGTTAAGATACATAAAGTCGTGGAAGTCGACTAACTCAAGTGGATCGGTAAAGAATCGGCTGACAGCCACATTGTAGCAGGAGAATCATCCAGACAGACAGTGAAGGATGACGAACAGTGCAGGAATATCGAGTCTGTGCGGACATTCTACCAAAGTATTGTAACTTACATACTGAGTCACTTTTCTTTAGAGTTCAGTATTCTCAAGAAAGATGATAAATAATCAGCTGAATATGTTAAATTACTGGCAGAAAGTTCTCAACATTCCTGATGTTGCTACAAATGTGAATGAATGGAAAGTATATCTAGTATCAGAAATGCCAGATGAACCAAAAATACAAAAAAAGTGGGTCATTACAGTAGTGAAAGGGGTTGATGGAGAAGTAAAATTCTCAAAATGAAAATATGGTTTTATCTTCTCTCATGGTAATGCAGTTGTTTAGAGGGTTTTCTGGCAAGAACAAGACTGTTTCAGAAGAAAGATCATTATACAGTGAATGTTCAGTCAATGGAACAAGGGCTACTAAAGATGCCATTAAGCTCCAAATTCCTTCATTAAGAGGAGCTGGCAATGTACCATTTATGAAGGACACATTCAGAGTCAATAGACTCGGATTGCAAGTCTGTGACTTGGTTTCTGCTGTAATGCTCTGGGATGATGTCTAGATAGAAAGCTAAAGACAAAATGAACCATTCATGATTCTCTAAGAAGCTTTATCACAGAATGTTTTGAATAATGATTCACCTTTTTTATTTTGGTTAATCTAGTAAAAGTGTACAATCTAGAAGTTTTTATTAACTGGATACTTGTGATGAAATAAATGGATGTGATATGGAGTGAAACAATATTTTCAGTTTCAAAGTGTTACATTTTCTGTATTTTTTACCAAAGAAAGTGCTGACTCTATTAATAACCTTTTGCTTACTCCCATCCAACCACCCTACAATCCAACTTACTAAACTTTTACCAACCCTCACCAATGAGATTTTGTTAGCTAATATTTATTTATGTTAGCTAATGTTTCTTGTCAAAAGCTTTTTGAAAACCTAAATCCTTAAGTACACACTATTTCATCACTTAGATAACGAGTAACATCCTTAAAATGTTAACAGATTAGTAAGGGATGGTTTACCTTTAGTGAATCAATGTTGATTTTCATTTATCTTATCATATTTCATTGGATGCTTTTTTTATTACTCTAAAACATTTCTCAATAAAGAAGTAAGACTAAATGATCTGTAATTTATTATTATTATCCCCTTTACATATAAACATAACACAAGCAATTCTCTAATCTTCATACACTGTTTACTGGCCTACCTTCTAAATAAGAAAGGCTTACTTATACGAGCTTTGATGTCCTTTAAAATCCTGAAAAAAAAATTATTTTGTATTGGTGCTTTATCTATTTTTAATCTCAATATTTCTAGTTATCATTGAAGAATTAATATTTACATGGTTCACATCAATTCCAA